TATGGCAAAAAATGTCAAAAAAACATCATAGTATTTTAAGGCATAAACCGTCATAAAAACATCACAGTATGATAAGGAATAAAAAGCCATCGTATAGTAAACCATAAAAACACTAAAAAAAACCTTATAGTTTAATAATGCATGAATTTATTAAAAAAATGTCATAGTATAAAAATATTGTCGTATATTAAAGCATAAAAATTCATAAAACTGTCATATGGTAAGGAATCGTTTATAGTAAGGCATAAAAATGCCAAAAAACATCACAGTACAATATGGCATAAAAATGTCAAAAAACGTCGTCATATAGTATGGCAAAAAATGTCACGTATAGTAAGGCATAAAAATGCCAAAAAACATCACAGTACAATATGGCATAAAAATGTCAAAAAACGTCATAGTATAGTATGGCAAAAAATGTCAAAAAAACATCATAGTATTTTAAGGCATAAACGGTCATAAAAACATCATAGTATGATAAGGAATAAAAAGCCATCGTATAGTAAGGCATAAAAATGCCAAAAAACATCCCAGTACAATATGGCATAAAAATGTAAAAAAAAGTCATAGTATTTTAAGGCATAAAAAGTCCTACAAACATCATATTATGATAAGGAATAAAACGACATAGTATAGTAAGCCATAAAAACACTAAAAAACCTTATAGTTTAATAATGCATGAATTTATTAAAAAATGTCATAGTATACTATGACATAAAATCATGAAAAATCGTCATAGTTTAGTATGGCATAAAACGTCATACTATAGTAAGGCGTAAAATGTCATAAAAATGTCATAGTATAGTAAGGCTTAAAATGTCATAAAAACGTCATAGTATAATAAGGCATGAAACATCATACTTTAGTAAGGCGTAAAATGTCATAAAAACGTCATCATATAGTAAAGCATAAAATGCTACAAAAACGTCATAGTATAGTAAGGCATGAAACGTCATAGTATAGTAAAGCATAAAACATCATACTATAGTAAGGCCTAAAATGTCATCAAAACGTCATATTATAGTAAGGCATAAAACATCATACTATAGTAAGGCCTAAAATTTCATAAAAACGTCATATTATAGTAAGGAAAAAAACGTCATTCTATAGTAAGGCATAAAATGTCATAAAAATGTCATAGTATAATAACGCATAAAATGTCATGCTATGATAAGGCATAAAATGTTACAAAAATGTCATAGTATAGTAAGGCATGAAACATCATAGTATAGTAAGGCATAAAACATCATACTATAGTAAGGCACAAAATGTCATAAAAATGTCATAGTATAGTAAGGCATAAAATGTCATGAAAACATCATAGTATAATAAGGAAAAAAACGTCATTCTGTAGTCAGACAAAAAGTCATAAAAACTTCATATTGTAGGAAGGTATAAAAACGTGATAGCATAGTAAGCCATTAAAAGTCATAAAAACATCATAGTAAGGCATAAAATGTTACAAAAACGTCATAGTATAATAAGGAAAAAAACGTCATTCTGTAGTCAGACAAAAAGTCATAAAAACTTCATATTGTAGGAAGGTATTAAAACGTGATAGCATAGTAAGCCATTAAAAGTCAAGAAAACGTCATAATATAATAAGGTGTAAAATCTCATACTATAAGGTATAAAACATCATAAAAATGTCATAGTATAGAAAAGCATAAAAATTCATACAAACGTCATAGTATAGTAAGGCATAAAACGTCACAGTATGGTAAGGCATCGAAATCGTCATAAAAATGTATTTGCATAGTCAGGCATTAAAAATGACAATGTTCAATGTAGCATAAAAATGTCATAGCATTGTACGAATTAAAAATGTATTGTATATGCACATGGAAAGGCCCCAACCTGAATTGAATCCAGAACTCTCTCACTTCTAAGTCCAATTCTAACCACTGCTCCACTGTGCTACCCCATAAAAAGTCATTGCATAGTAAGGCATAAATAGTCAACCCAAAATATTTATGGAGACATGTACCTACCGTCCATATGCATACCAACACCCTCACATTCACACTAATAACACTGTCTCCTCATGAATTATCTTTGCGTATGATAATGTGCTATACAAATCAATCATCCTGTAGTTTGACACAGGTTTACTTTCAGTGCACATGGTTATAGAGTCAACAGGTTACTTCTCTTGAGTAGTGCAGAAACAACTGGCTGATGGTCAGATAATTAATCAGTCATTAAATCATTAAGTCAATTAATCTTTAACATTGTTTACGGTCTTCTTCAGTCTGCGGATGATTCTCTTTGTTTCATGGTGAATGTAAAACCTGTTGATGAGACGATATGAGACATTTTCTCTCTGGACTCTTTGATCGACATATTCCCTAAAAGTTTTCATGTCATTGACAAAAAATCTGTTATTTAAATAAACAATCTAATATCTAAAGGTTTGTAACGACTGATAATGAATGAGCCTGTTGTTTGCTAAGTGCTATACTAATGTAATGTGTAATATCTGATTCAGTTTTAACTCAGAGCTGAATTTCTGTCTCAGTCCAGCTCCAGGCTCTGGGCTCCACACCATTCACTGGTTTCCTGTTACAGGCTCGAGAGGTAGGAGGCCAGTCCCCTGTGGGCTCCTTCACCCTGACTTCAGGGGCCACTCAGCTGCTCACCTGCAGCCAGAGACCTGTGAGTTTCCAGCCGTGTAGCAGATAATAACATGAACAATATAACATATACAATGTATGAAAACTCACACAGTCTCAGTTAATGTTGGAATATTTATTGACTTATATTTTGGTCTGTTTGACCTTCATCAGGTAAAAAATACTAAATATTCCTCTTTTCCTCTATAACAACTAACAGTCCCTCCTTCGTTCCCACAGTCTTGTTTTCATCCTCTGTGTCTTTATATTTCAGTACAACTGTCTCTGATTTATTCTGTGACATTATAAATCATGAGCTGTATATTATAAAGTTCTACTAATAACTAGATGATCCGCATTAAAATCAGACCAGAGGAAACAGTGAAAGGTAGATGTCATTGTACTGTTGTCCAGCAGAGGGCAGCACCGACCTGCTAATGCTGTGTGTGTGTGTGTGTGTGTGTGTGTGTGTGTGTGTGTGTGTGGGTGTGTGTGTGTGTGTGTGTGTGTGTGTGTGTGAACAAGGAGAGAGATATGCACAACGATCATCATGTAATAGTATGGGCAAATTAAAAACGTCAAAAATATATTGTTAGTGATTTCAATTGGACAAAAATTCATAAACTGTCATAATAATGGTACGAGATAACTCAATAGTTAATAGTAAGGATACAAAGACACGCAAAAACACATCAAATACAATATGGGCATAGAAATGGTCGGATAACGTCATAGTATTAGTATGGCAAAAATTTCAAAAAAACAATCGTAGGTAATTTGAGGTCTAAATGGTCATGAAAAAACATCCATATTATGAGTTAACGAATAAAAAAGCCAGTTAGTATAGTAAGGCAGAAAATGGCCACAAAATCATCGAATTGTATAGTATCGGTCATTAAAACGTGCAAAAAAATATTGTCGTATATTAACAAGGCATAAAATTCATGAAAATGTCATAGTGTAAGGAATCAGTCTTATAGTAAAGGCATAAATAATGCCAAAAACATCACAGTAAATATGGCATAAAAATGTCAATAAACGTCGTCTTATATAGTATGGCAAAAAAATGTCAAAAAAAGACTGATCATAGGATTTTAAAAGGCATAAGGCCATAAAAACACTAAAAAACCTTATCGTTTTTAATAATGAAATGGAAGTCTACAGTCAAAAAAAGTTCATAGTATACTAGTGGCATAAAATGTCAAAAAAGCATTCAGAGTATGTTTAAGGGTCATAAACGGTATATGAAAACGATTCATAAGTTATGAATAAACGAATACAAAAGCCCATCTGTATAGTAAGGCATAAAATGCCAAAAAACATCAACAGTATCAATATGGCATAAAGAAAATGTCAAAAAAACGTTATAGTATAGGTTTTGGCAAAATGTCAAAAAAAACATAAATAGTAATTTTAAGGCATAAACAGTCCATAAAGAACATCTTAGTATGGATAAGAAAAAAAATATTGTAGTAATTTTAAAGGCAAATAAAAATTCATAAAACGTCATAATATGTTAAGGAATCAATCACATTTGTATACGGTAAGGCATAAAAATGCAGAAAAACATCCAAAGTAAAATATGGTGGCATAAAGATGTAAAAAAAAGTCTCATAGTAGTATTAAGGTGCATACAAAAGTCCTAAACGAAACAATCATATTGATGATAGTGGGAATAAAACGACATAGTATAAGTAAGGAAAAAGAACTACTTAAAAAACCTTATGAGTCGTTGAATAATGCGATGAATATATTAATTAAAAAATGTCATAGTATAACGCTTGACATAAAATCATGGATAAATCGTTCATAGTTTAGCGTATGGCATAACGTGCATTACTATAGAAGAGAGTGTTTAAGGCGTAAAATGAGTCATATAATGGTCATAGTATAGATCAAGACGGCTTAAATATGTCATAAAACGTCATAGTAATAATAAGGCCATGAACGGATCATACTTTAGACTAAGGCGTAAAATGACTATAAGCAACGTCATCATTAGTAAAGCATAAAATGCGCTACAAAACGTCATAGGTATAGTAAGGCATGAACGTCATAGTATAGTAAAGCATAAAACATCATACTATAGTAGGCCTAAAATGTTCGATCAAAACGTCAATATTATAGTAGGCATAAAAACATCATACTATTAGTAAGGCTAAAATTTCATAAAAACGGTCATATTGATAAGTCAAGGAAGAAAAACGTCCTTCTATAGTATAATGCATAAAATGTCATAAAATGTATAGTATATATAACGCATAAAATGTCATCGCTATGATAAGGCATAAAAATGTTACAAAATGTCATGGTATATAACGATAACATGTCATGCTATGATAAGGCATAAAATGTTAAAAAACGTTCATAGTATTAGTGTGGCAAAAAATGTTCAAAAACATCAATAGTATTTTATAGAGGGCATAAACGGGTATAAAGACATCAATAGTATGATAAGGAATTAAAAAGTCCATCGTATTAGTAAGGCATAAAAATGCCAAATAAAATCACAGTCCAATATGGCATAAAAATGTCAAAAAAAGTCATAGTTATAGTAATGGCAAAAAAAATATGTCAAAAAAGCATCATAGTATTTTAAGGCATAAACAGTGCATAAAAAACATTCTTAGTGTGATAGGAAAAAAATATGTAGTATTTTAAGGCATAAAAAATTCATAAACTTGTCATAAATATGGTAAGGATCATCGAATACACATTGTATAGAAGGGCGATTAAAAAAATGCAAAGAAACATCCGCAGTAAACAATTTATGGCATAATAAAATGTAAAAAAAAGTCATAGTATTTTAAGGCATAAAAAGTCTACAAACATATAATTATGATAAGGAATAAAAGAATAGGTAATATGTGCAGAAAAACACTAAAAAACTCCTTATGTTTTAGATAATGCATGAGATTTATTAGAAAAATTGTCATAGTTACTATGAACATAAAATCATGAAAATCCGTCATACCGTTTAAGGTGATGAGCGATAGAGGAACGGTGTCACTACTGCATGATGGTCGGAAAGTCGCGTAATGTCATACAAATGTCATAGGTATATAGTAAGGCTTAAAATGGTCAGTAGGAAAACGTCAGTAGTATAATAGGCATGAAAACATCTACTTTTAAGTAAGGCGTAAAATGTCATAAAAACGTCATCATATAGTAAACATAACCACCGCTCAACTAGATATAGTATAAGGCATGAAACGTCATAGTGATAGTTAAAAGCAATAAAACATCCTACTGATTAAGTAAGGCTAAATGTCATCTAAAACGTCATAGTTATAGTAGGCAATAAAACATCATACTATATGTAAAGGCTAAAATTCTCATAAAAACGTCATACTTATTAGTAGAGGAAAAAACGTCATTCTATAGTAGGCTAAAATGTATAAAAAATGTCATAGTATAATAAAGCATAAAATGTCAATGCTATGATAAGGCATAAAATGTCTACAAAAATGTCATAGTAGTAGTAAGGCATGAAACATATAGCTATAGTAAGGGCATAAAACATTCATACTAATAGTAGGCACAAAATGTCCATAAAAAATGTCATAGTATAGTAACATAAAATGTCATGAAAACATCATAGTATATATAAGGAAAAAAACGTCAATTCTGTCCTCGAGACAAAAAGTCATAAAACTTCATATTGTGTAGGAAAGGTATAAAACGTGATAGGCATAGTAAGATGACCATTAAAAAGTATAAACATCATAGTAAGGGCATAAATGTTCAAAAACGTCATAGTGCATAAGTAAGCCATTAAAAGTCCAAAAACGTCATAAATATAATAAGGTGTAAAATTGCTCATACTATAAGGTATAAAACATCATAAAAAATGTCATAGTATAGAAAGCATAAAAATTCATACAAACGTCATAGTATAAGTAAGGATAAACGTCAACAGTATGGTATGGCATACGAAATCTCATAAAAAATGTATTTGCATAGTAGGCATTAAAAATGCAATGTTTCAATGTAAGCATAAAAATGTTCATAAGCACTTGTAACGAATTAAAAATGTATTGTATATCGAATCACATGGAACATCGCACCGGATACCTGATATTATGAATTGACGCAGAACTCTCTTCACATTCTAAAGTCCAATCTAACCACTGCTCCACTGTGCTCCCATAGAAAGTCATTGCAATAGTTAAGGCATAATAGTCACCCAAAGTATTTATGTAGACATAGTAACTACCGTATATGCATACCAACACACCCTCGAACATTCACACTAATAACAACTGTCTCCTCATGAATGTATCTTTGCGTATGAATAATGTGTCTCATACAACATCAGATCTCCTTGTAAGTTATGAGCACAGTTTACTTTATGCAACATGGTTATAGAGTCAACAGGTCTACTTCTACTATTAGTAGTGCAGAAACAACGCTGAATGGCTCAGATAATTAACAGATCAATTATAACATAACAATTAAGTTCTTTAAACATTGTACATTATCGGTCTTCTTCAGAATTCTGCGACTGAATGTCTCTTTGTTTCAATGGTGAATCGTAAACCTGTTGATGGACGATATGAACATTTTCTCTCTGGACTCTCTTAGATGAAGATAATTATCACCTAAATTTTCCCAATGTCATATGACAAAATCTGTTATTCTAAATAACAATCTAGAGTTGAAGAGTTTGTAACGACTGTATAATGATGAGGCCTGTTGTTTGCTAAGTGCTATACTAATGATAATGGTATATCTGATTCAGCTTTTCATACTCAGAGCTGAATTTCTGTCCTCAGTCGCGCTCCAAGGCTCTGGCTCACCCAACCCCATTCAATCTGGGTTCTACTGTTTACAGCTCGAGAGGATTAAGGAGCCAGTCCATAGACTTGGGTGGACGGTCCTTCACAGCCTGACTTCAGGGGCCACTCAGGCTGCTTCACCTAGCAGCCAGAGACCCTGTGGAGTTTCCAAGCCGTGTAGCAGATAATAAACATGAACACAATGATACATATACAATCGTATGAAGAACTCACACAGTCTCAGTTTAATGTTGGGAGATATTTATCTGACTTAATATTTTGGTTCTGTTTGATGACTTCATCAGGTAAAAAATACTAGAATATGTGCCTCTTTTCCTCTATAACACGTAAGTCCCTCCTTGTTCCCACAGTCTTGTTTTTTCATCCTTCTGTGTGCTTTATATTTCAGTACAATCTGTCTCTGTTTATTCTGTGACATTATAAATCATGGCACCTGTATATTATAAGTTCTACTAATAACGTAGATGATCGCTCTTAAAAATCAGGACCAGAAGGAAGAAACAGTGAAAGGGTAGATTCATTGTACTGTGTGTCCAGCAGAGGGTCGCACCGACCTGCTAATGCTGGGAGGTGTGGTGTGGTGTGTGTGTGTGGTGTTGGTGTGTGGTGGTGTGTGTGTGTGTGTGTGTTGGGCGGGGT